AAGTAATGATGCTGAAAATTCAGCTTTGCATCACAGAAATAAATTACATTTTAAAATATATTACAATAGAATTATTATTTATTTTAAAGGGGACATCGGATGCAAAATTCACTTTTACATGGTGTTTGCGTATAATGTGTCTCAGCAGTTTGTGAACACAACCACCCTACAATGATAAAAATCCATTCACTACTTTTTTTTTAATACCCAAAAAACCTATAAACTGTCTCAATAATCAAGCCGTTTTGATTTTCTGAGCAATATGACGTCATAATGCTCAGGCTCTGCCCACGACCGCTGACGGGCTGTCTCGTATTAGCATCGGTGTGTCCAAAATCGCAGTCTGAGTAGATGCTATATTTGAATTTACTTCATGGCGTTAAAAAAGTATGTTCTATATAGTATGAATATGAATAGTATTAATGAAATTCAGACTTACTACATCCGCCATGTTGTTACTGTCACATGATCTACCAGCGTCATTATCCAAAACAATGTTGTACAGGTGCATCTCAATAAATTAGAATGTCGTGGAAATGTTCATTTATTTCAGTAATTCAACTCAAATTGTGAAACTCGTGTATTAAATAAATTCAATGCACACAGACTGAAGTAGTTTAAGTCTTTGGTTCTTTTAATTGTGGTGATTTTGGCTCACATTTAACAAAAACCCACCAATTCACTATCTCAACAAATTAGAATACTTCATAAGACCAATAAAAAAACATTTTTAGTGAATTGTTGGCCTTCTGGAAAGTATGTTCATTTACTGTACATGTACTCAATACTTGGTAGGGGCTCCTTTTGCTTTAATTATTCTAATTTATTGAGATGCACCTGTATTTGTACTTTACAAACCCCAGTGAGCAAGATAAAAATGACAAAAGAATAAACACAGATACTTATACTTGCATTCTTATATATTGCAAGGAAGGAAGAAACACTTAAAAATCTAACTTTATATAGAGATTATTTATTTATTATTTATAATATGGTGGTTCTGCTTTTTTTTCTTACTATTCATTAAAGAAAAAACTAAAACTAAGGCTTTCAATGCAATATCATAATCACAATTAATCTTAGGATTTCTGACCGGTCTTTAAAAACAGAAATAAATCATCAAAATGTACAATTCTGTACATGTATTCACAGTGTTATCAATGTAAATGTTATCACATCAAACATAATTCATATCTTGGTTTGTTAACTTTGAAAGTCCCAAAAATGCATATTGTAAAAATGTTGTTGACCACCCAGAACCTCTTTACAGACAGTTTGAAAGCCCTTTTCCTAGAAAACTGCAAGAAGCCATCATTGAAGGAAGGCCGCCCATGCAGTGATTGAATGAGCTTCTACATCACACTTGGCTGAGAGTCCATATCTATCCCTACTCAGTGAAATGCAAGTGGCTTTTGCATACTAGCCATGGCATTTGAACACTGACTTGGAAAATGTGCCATTGTTTTCAAGTATAGGCTGACTCATGGCCCCTCTGGCCCGATATCTGATTACAGCTGAGCGAAACGCAAACATCCAACACAGATCTCAAAGCTACTCATGTAGACAGATTTGGTCTGAGAGAATGAGTAAAGTAAAAACAGCAATCGTATTTACAGCCCTCCCGCTACAGACAAAGCCTTATCTTTCATTATGCTACAATACAGCTGTGAACTTTTGTCCAAGATAGAAGTAGGGGCATGTTATGCAAAAACTGGTGGTAGGCCAACAAAGTTGCTCATATTTCTATCTTGTTGCGTGGGAAATTGAAGGGAAAAGGGAATGCCGTTGACAGATTTCAAAGCGACAGCCAAAGTTTTCAACAAACCTGTATTGTGATTTGTTGATCTAACCCATTTCAGCTATGAGACATATGTGAATTAATGCTCGTCTCCTCCACACAGTGCATTTCACTATGTTAGCCTCATCTGTTCAGGATGTCCTCCCTCACTGATCTGGTGACATAATACTCATTTCAGCCCACACCCATCAACATTTTCTCTCTTTCTCTCCGATGTGAGTCAATGACTTCCATTTGCTCTATTTTTCGCTGGTTTCACTCCAGCATGATGGTGGCTCCTCCCTCTCTCCAGACACATGTGAAATTCCCAAAGTCGTTCCGCATCCAAAACTAATAACGAAACCTGTCACGCTTTCCTTATGTGGCGTGGCTTGCAGTGAGTTGTCATTATTAAACCAGCCTCTTCTCGAAGGGGACGTGACTCCTACAAGGAACGCTTGCTAACTGCTAATAACGGGAAAAGACTTTAGTCACAACATGTGTTTTGAGGCATCAAACTTTTGGCATGTGATAAAATGTAATCACTACAAAACATATTTGAGATTGGACTTGTGGTGCAGAAGTTAGATGTAATCGTACAGTCATGTCAAGTGGTTTCCAGCAAACAAACAAAATACACACTTCGTTACTACGACGAATATGCAAAGTACTGTATTGTCATATCACTTTTTCCACAGATTGATATTGGGTATAAGGGGTTAATGAGGAGGAGCCTTTGTGAAAAAGTGCAATTTAGCATACTTTTAAAAAGAGTACTTGTTACGGAAATAATATACTTTAAATTAATACACTTAAGTGTGAACTCCATGTAAAGTATTCAGACACTTAAGTGCATGTTAAATGAAAATGTATTATAGTTTTCATTTTAGATTAAATGCAGTTAGCTGAACTTTAGAGTGCTTTTTGATCCACTTAGGTAGACGTTAAGTACATCTTTCACAATTACTTCTATTGTCTTTGAAATATGGTTAAGTGTACTGCTGAATCTATACTGACTTTAATATAATTTTCTGTGTCATGTGTTTAAATGTGACCCTGGAGCACAAAACCAGTCTTAAGTCGCTGGGGTATATTTGTAGCAATAGCCAAAAATACATTGTGTGGGTCAAAATTATAGATTTTTCTTTTATGCCAAAAATCATTAGGATATTAAGTAAAGATCATGTTCCATGAAGATATTTTGTAAATTTCCTACTGTAAATATATTAAAACTTAATTTTTGATTAGTAATATGCATTGCTAAGAACTTCATTTGGACAACTTTAAAGGCGATTTTCTCAATATTTCGATTTTTTTTTTTTTTGCACCCTCAGATTCCAGATTTTCAAATAGCTGTATCTCGGCCAAATATTGTCCTATCCTAACAAACTATACATCAGTGGAAAGTTTATTTATTCAGTTTTCAGATCCAGGGGGTCACAAATATGTTTGTAATTAGACATTTGTAATGATGAAGTTGCAATTTAGTACATTTGAAATATATTAACTTATAATATTGAATAACACACTACAGTTAAAATTCAAAATCAAGTACTTTATAAAATAAGTGTACTTCTTTAAAGCATTACAAAAGATTATTTGAACATAATGATTGAAAATGTACCTTAAAGTACATTTTTTTTATTTCACATTATTAAAAAGGGCACTTTTTAAACGTGTACTAAAGTGTAAAAACTGTAATGAAAGTCTCTCTTTAAGTACCTTTTATTTTATTTTATTAATATTATATTATCCGTGAGTACAATTTCTTAAATACTTTTAAGATTTAAAGTACACTACAAGTGCACATTCAATACAACTAAGTGCACTTCTTTTTCACAACGGACGTTTCCGTGCTGGTGCTTTTGGTGCGGACCTGTTTGACGTCAGTTTGGTTGTGGTGAAAGAGATTTTCAAAACTCTGGTACAGTTTGCAATCGATATGAACACAATCTGTCCTAAATCACAGAAGTTAAAACTCAAATGACAATGTGAAAGCAGGAATGGGGCAAAATCAAACTACTGTATAGTTAAAACAACCTCATTGTGCATTAATGTGGAAGACAAAGTTATAACCACATTTAGCCTTAAAATACAGGATCTTGACACTGGGACGATCCATTCTGATGGTTTAGTGATCAATAAACTAAGTGAAGCCAGACCAAGAGCTCTCTGACTCTAGCAGCATGTTGATTTAAACCATACACGCTCATCTCAGTCTCAATCATGACTCACTTTGGCATCTTTGACTGCTTCGGCACAAGGAAATGTTTAAGTCAGAATATTGAATCTTCCTATAGTAAATAGATGTTGTCTTAATAGGATGGAGTCATATGGCCTGTGGCTCTTTCTGTCAAGCTATATTATAAACAATTACATTTTTGGCATCATTCATTGTGCACATGTGAGCCATAATTAACCTTCACAGGGAGGAAACCCTTTGAGATTAAAAAGGCTGAGATCACATTAATCATTTGGGATGTAAAATCTAATTTAAACCTGAAAAAAATCTACAAAGTTTTAGGGTTTTTAAATTACCATCACAGCTTCCATTTAAATTCATGACAAAGCATTTAGTCAGTGGGTTCTGTATTTTCCCTCAAAGCATAATCAAGTTTACATCACATGTTGGATAACAAATGTATGAAAATATGATTGACTATTGCTCCCTAATGATCCAAGTGAAGTCATATGAAGTTCTTATGATGACTTATTATTCCAGGGTTTCCCAAAGTTATTTGTCAAACCCCTTTGACCTAAAATGTTATGTTAATATTTCAATAATTTAACAACGCATTCTTGTATTCATGGTTCTGATGTTGGTTCATGGTCACATGACATACGCATCTTTATTTGTCATTTAATACGTTTTTATATTTCTATAATCTGCTCAGTAATTCATATGTTAGTGGTAAATAAATAAAAAATCTTGCTGAGCACCAAGAATAACATGCTTAATGGTCAACTGCCAGCACTATGTCAGACTTTACAGTGACTGGACAGCCAGTGAGTCGAGGCTGTATATTTATCACCCTCCCTACGACCTGCATCAAACGGGGAGATTAGGGTAAACGTATTGCCTTGCTGCCACTAGCCCATTACTCTGACCCATAATCCATCCATCTCACAGAACAGCAGAGCTCCTGAGCCAACCCACAGCAATGCCGTCCAACACTCAAACCCTAAGCAGAGCACAGAAAAAGAAAAAGAGTGTGACGTAGTGACGCTCCAGGGCGGTGTTCTCACGTTTCCGAAAAAAAAAAGAAAGAAAGGAGGGAAAAAAGCAAATACTGCTGTGTTACTACATCTGGAATACAGAGACGCGTGCTTTGAGAATCTATAGTGGGATCCCATAGTAAAGGCAACCCAGTGTTTTCTTCCTGCTCTCTTTCGCTTTTCAAGGATTTTTCCCCTCTCTCCCTCACCTGTAAGTTGGAGAACAATGGAAGTTTTTTTTTTTCCCCATTTGGTTAATTTATGGAATATTTGTACGTCATTTCAGGAGATACTCAGCCACGTTTGTTTACTATTATTTTCCTTCTGGAGACGGCCTAACCTCACATCGTTTGTCTTTTCTCGGAAAGTTTGCTGTTTTATTCAAAGTTTATTATTATTATTACGCTATTTATAGTTTTTTTTGTTTGTTTGTTTATCAAGTTTATGTTAATTATAGTATTAGTTTTCCATTGTTAGTCCTAATAGTCGTATTTTGATATGAGCACATCTAAAGTTTTGATTTCAGTCATAGTCGCTCGCGAAGTTTTGCAATAACTGGTCTGGATGAAACCAACTGCTTTGGAATCTTTCCCTCCTTTTCTTTTTGTCTGCTTCCGAAATCTGCCTCAATTCGTACTCATTGATCGTTTTAGTTATTACATTTTTGTTAGCTTCTCGTAATCTTTACTTTCTGAGGTAAAGAAAAAAGGCGGCACCTCGAGAGAAAAAACGTGACGTGACTGCATGTGGATGTGTTTTTCTGATAAATATAGACATTTAAATGGCTTTTCAAACATTGCAGTGTGATTAGTACAATTATCAACGTAATGTATCCACAATACACATGTTTTCGATTAATATGAAGGAGAAGAAAAAAAGAAAATAGACAGAACTTAAGGGGTGTTTGGGTTGAGATACGTTTGACAGCAGCGCGATCTGGTGGCCAGATGTGGAAATGCAGGGGTAAACGCTGCCCGCGATAAAGCCCCCAGGTGTGTGATTGAGGAGGAGATGTGATTACTTTCTCTTTCTGTTCTCTTAGACGAACCTCAAAATGCTGGCCATTCTGTTCGCAACGATAGTCTTGCATCTGACCGACCTTATCATTCTCTTCGTTTCCACATGTACTAATGTGAGTATCATCTTTGAGGTCTGACTTGCTTGGTTTACCTTGCGTTAATGGGTCGTATTTTTGAGCTGGAATTTAGTGAAGGATTGGTTTATGTGTATATGTAATTATATGGGTGTTTTTTTATTAAAAAAA